ACGACGTGGGCTGACTATAACCCGCGTTTGAGTTACTGTTTAGATTAGATTTGTCACCGTTTCGGCCAAAACTGTTAGATCGAGACCGAGATCGCGGTCCCGACGGCTCGCCCGGCGTCGACTCCGGCTGTGGATCCGTTTCATCCACTCTCTCACCGCTGTCTTCGTTCTGTAACTTCTCTAATAGATCTGCGAAAACAAAAAACAATCATTGGATCAGTTGTGGTGATCATTAGCGGGCACTCAATGGGTCAGACCGTTGGCCGCTTGCGATGGATAGAGTCGTTGGGCTTTAATCAAGTATTTGATGGCTTTCTGTGTCTCGCTGTTGGCCGCGAAGATCTTCGCCAATTGGATACACTTCTCGCTCTCATCCCTATTGCCATCCATTGACTCGTCGGACACTAATTGCACACCAATTGGTGTCTAATATTAGTATTAAATAACAATTGATTTAAATTAAAACTAAATATAAATAAAACGGCGTTTAAGACGACGTCATTGTAGGGCTTGTATTGACTCAAAAGCCATACAAACCGTACAAACACTGCATTTCAATCGATCACTTCCTCAACATCTCTACCACAGCGAACACCTCTATCCGATCGCACGCGTGGCTGCCATTCAATGTTTGGCCGCATTCACGTGCTGTGTGTGGAGGGGTAGAGGTGTACACAGTGTATGGCTCATAACCCCCTCTTTTTAGTGCCGGCCATCGGTTGTAATGAATGATGCGATGAATGGCTGGTGTTTTATGGTTGTAATAATGCGCTCATAAACTGTGGTCAAGTTTGCGTTAAATTGACCAATATACATTTTATGGCATTAATTGTGTATTGATTTAATAATTTAACCAATAGTTTTGTCATTTGATTCAATTGTCTTCAATTTATTCACTTTTATATGGATTAAGTTTAGTCTTAATCTGTAATCCATTTCATTAAATCTTTCCTCTCTAATAATTTGTTTCAAAACTAATTTCATAACAAAATTACTTTTGAAATAATTGTCACATTTGAACGCTTTTTATACAACAAATTGTCATAAAATTATATATAATTAACTGATAATTAGGGGGAAAACCAACATTTAAAGTGAAATATAAATTGATTTTATTTTTAAATGATTTCATAAAAATTAAATTAAAATGAATAATAAATTTCAATAATAATTTGACAATAGATAACATTTTTAGACGAGTTTAACCGCATTCAGGCTTTTCTGCAAATTGAGTACTTCTTTATGGAGTCTTATATTTTCCTCTTTAAACGCCTCTTTGTTGGCCTTCTTCTCCAGTCGTCGCTCTTTTCGGTATTCCTTGAGTTCACACTTTCGTTGTCTCCTCTGTTCGGGCGTCTCATCGGGTGGTCTGACAGACAATTCACTCAAT